TAGTTCCCTAGTCACTTATCCTCCCAGAATCTTACTTGTTCACCATTATTAATAATCCAGGAACCCATATTTAAAAAGGAATTCTTAACCTTCATCAGACCTGACCAAAAATGGGAATCCCCTTGTTTCCTCTCAACCCGAGTAATTGATTTACCAGTAAGATATTTTCGTTTCAGTAAATCTTGCCACACACCTTGCTCATTTATTAATTTAAATAACCATTTACTTAAACGACATTGGTTTTATATTTCTAAATTATGAACTCCAAGTCCACCCTGATTTTTTGGTTGACAAATAATATCTCATCTTGTCAATCTATACTTTTTTTATGTTCATCCCCTTGCCAAAAGAAACGGGATCTATAATAATCAATTTTTTGAAGAACCCCTTTAGGAATCTCAAAAAACGATATCATAAACATAATAAACATAGCTAGACTTGACAAAACAGAATTAATCAAAACCAATCTCCCACCAACAGAATTTATCAACATTTGACCATTCATTTTATTCAAAATTTTTGTACAAATATGAAAATATTTACATAAATTTTGATGATGAATCAAGTCATAATAAATTAAATGATAATTACATAAATTTTTTGAATAAGACGAATGGTCAAACATTGGATAAAAAATCAACGGCGTCGTACATTAAAATACAGAGATAGTATTTAATAAGAGCTAAATATATAGCCGACTGATTCAAGCAACACAAAACAGTTCCCTTTTTGGAAAAAAAAAAGAACAGTACAAGTACTGGACTGGTTCATATTTGTTTCCTCTTTGGGAGGTGCATGCACCTTCGTTGATTTCTTATTAGTAGAGCCCATCTACCTAATTACCGCCAACAACACAAAATCTCCAAGGCCGTGAGCGCCAATAACAAAAGTATATATATATATATATATATATATATATATATATATATATATATATATATATATATAGGAAGTAAGCTGAAAGAAACAAATAAGCCTTATTGAAGTAGCTTATTATAATCTAGAGTCCAGCTTATTATAATTTGATAAGCTCATTTAGGTGAGCTTTTTCCAGATTATTGGGTGCAAAATTACCCACCATGCCACCCCACTCCCTCTTTAGACTTGCAAAACCCAATAATCTAGGCTCTAATAATCTAGGAAAGAAACAACCAACGGTTATTCTACTATAAATTATATAAATTATAACAATCTAGCTTATAGTAATCTGACTTAATAATCTAGATTATAATAATCCCAAACTGAAAGAAACAGGGCCATAGTATTGTAACATCCTCAATCTCAAATAGCCACATCTTTTATCAATTCGTTTGTCTTAAGAAAAACTTTGACTTTGAAACAATTATTGTATTGTATTTTGATAAAAGTTGGTAAAAGTATTCTAGTCTGTTAGTTTTGTATTAGAGCAATTCTACGATTCTTGAGTAGGTACCATGAGGTACCATTTTTTCTATTGTAAATTTGGTACCTCTTGGTACCTCAATGACCGTAAAATTGCTCTTTGTATTAATGTATATGAGCTGGATAAAAAATGATATTTTTTTGAGAGTGAGGTAACATGCATGTATCTTGCGTACATTTGTGAGCTATCTAGACTTTTTTCAAACCAGGAGTCCAGGACGGCCACTAGATTAATTAAGCAAAATTACTATCGCCATTTGTAGCTTAGTAGCTATATGATCCTAGTACTAGCTATGCGTGCAAAAGTTGGACTCTTGCAATAGTCTTGTAGAGCCGAGGGTGACGACCTTGCAGATGGCAGTATATATGACATTGTTATATCTATATATATCTTATATGCATATCTATATCTATCTATCTATATGCATATGTATATCTAGCTCTATCTATATCTATATCTATCAGAATAGACCGATAACGTTGACGCTGTTTGAGACATTTTTTTTCATATTATTGACGCGGATTGTTTATTTTATTAACATGATAAATTAATATATTTTTTAAAAAAAATCACAAATAACTTAAAATAGGTGGTCTAATAAACTTCACAAATAACTTAAAGTAGGTGGTCTAATCAATATAGTAGACATAGTAGAAAAATAAAAAAAATTATACGAGGCAAATGAAATTCTAGGGAACATATGAAAAGGATGGGGCTGTGTTGAACTTTGATATTTTCAGATTTGCAAATACTTTTGAAACTCTACCCTATTACAAAGTTCTATACAAAATGAATCTAACAATATGGTTTTGAGTATATAAAAAATAATACTACCTCTGTTTCATGTTATAAATCATTTTAACTTTTTTCTAAGTCAAACCACTTTAGGTTTGACCAAATTTATAAAAAAACATAGCAATATTTTTTCAACATAAAAGATATCAAAATATGTTTAATGTTAGACATAATGAAACCAATTGCTATATTTTTTCACTTTCTCGAAGTTAGATTTTAAAAAAAAATTAAAGCGATTTATAATATAAAATGGAGGGAATAGAAACAAGAAAATTATCATCAGTTATTGAGAGAGAGAGAGAGAGAGTATATCTTCCCTTTTTATAACGCGTTTTTGTCTCTGGTTTAATTTCCTTCAAGCATCTTGTTTGCTTGTTCCCTTTTATGGCTGCTTGTTTCTGCCTTGCTTTTCAAATTTATAGAAAAAATATAGCAATAGTTTTTATAACATAAATAAGAATATAAAAAAATATGTTCAATGTTATACGAAATGAAACCAATTGCTATGCTTTTTTATATACTTCATCAGTTCATCAAACTTTCTCAAAGTTTGATTGATAATATAAAACGAAGGGAGCATTGGTTAATGTTGGAAGAGAATTGACGTTGCAGTTATTGAAATAGAGAGAGAGAAGGGGGGGAGTATATCTTCCTTTTTTATAATGGTTTTATCTCTGGTTTAATTTCCTCCGAGCATCTTAATTGTGTACTTGTTCCCATTTATATATGGCTGCTTGTTGCTGCCTTGCATGTCTTTTTGAGAGAAAAAAAAGGAGAATTATCTATTACTATATTTCTTTTAAAATATAAGTATTTTTATATTGTTATGTAGAGGTTAAGGTTAAGAAGAAAAATACTTTAATTAATGCCCCTCAATAAATGAAAAATAAGTGGGGTTGGATGGAGAAGTGGGGGTAAGATGAGAAGAGATTTGAATGAGGAATAATTGATGAGATAAATAATAGTACTGTTTGTAGTGTTATAAATTTTTATATTTTAGAAAAGTATTCAAATACTATAAGTTCTTAATCATAATTTGGAACGGAGAGAATATTATTAAATGAAGGTGGAGTAAATTTAACAATTCAAATATCTCGCGACACCCAAGCAAGAGTACCACACAGACATGCACAGTACAGAGTACATGATACATCGATGCGCCAGCATAAAAATTGAAATATCCAGACGGAGCAAAAGTTAGACAAATTATCCATCCTATATTTCAATTTGCTACGACCAAATATACACTTAAGAGCGATCAATAATTAATTGCATTCTAAAAATCGGTAGCAGAGCCGAAGAAAAGAGCAAGGCCAAAAAGCATATACATGATTGCATAAATGCATGATAAGAATGTGGTGAAGTTTATGCGATCATGTAATATAAAAAGTTTTAGGATTAAAGATACATATTAAAAAGGTTAATAAAATTAAATGAGGATTTATTGTGATTGGTTTAAAAGAGGAGGTAGGCAGTAACAAGGCTCAATGTGAGTTATTCTCCGGTTTTCTGGGCTGGTTCTGGTTGTAACTTCATCTCACAACTTATTTGTGACGACAATATATATTGTTGAGTAATATATTTCTCTTTCCTTATAAAAAAAAGAGAAGGTAGGTAGGGAATTTTAATGTTAGAAGATTGTGATTGGTTGAAAGAAATATATTTTAGGTGAAATTTTAAATGCTAAACATTGTTATATTTTATAACAAAGAGAGTAGTGCTTATGTGTAAAAGGTGCGTTAATTTCTTGATTTAATTACCTCGAAAGATATGATTGCATAGTTGCATTCCAAGAGATGCTAAGGCCCTGTTTAGATCATCCAATGTTGCCGTTTTAAAGCACTTTTTGCTATTTTGGATCTAAACACTAGTAACAAAACTTGGCAATTTGGCATTTGGCATTTGCTAGTCTATAGTAGCAAATTGTGCCAAAAAGTGCTTTGGGACCACTCCCTCTTTCTTTCTATCTCTCACTTTAGTGCTAGAATGGCAAAAGTTTAGGATGCATCTAAACACCAACTAGTATTTTTGCAATACCAAAACTTTTACCACCAAAACTTTTGCCATTTGCTATTTGCTATTCCAAATGGATCTAAACAGGGCCTAAGATGTTAATTGCGTCCACATTAATTAAGAACCCTATATTAGCACATTACATTGGAAAAACATTCTTGAACGACCGAACGATCACTGCCACCAGCCGTCCCGTTAGGAGAGTTCATAAACGGCGTCACTGCTGGTTTTCTAATTAGTAACATGAAGAGAGGGCAATCAATGTACAGTGATACTACTAGAGAGTATCACCGCTGATCGATCTTGAACAGGCAGTATTGGTAAGTAGGTATCAACCCGGCCAGAAAAGATATACAAAGCAATATGATGCATCTATATATTGTTCATACATGCATGATATACACATATTCATACATCGACAATATTGCACTTCATATCATTGCCTCAATCTATTGAGAAAAAGTACAAGGAAATTAAAACAAGAAAATTATGCAAACCACGCTACTACAAAACCATTATTGTAAACACATCCTCTCCAGTTTTACATGCAGTCTAGCTAAAGATACCCACATGTGAAAATGGATAATTAAGGGATCCCAAAGACCCATAAGTGAAAATTGGTTTTTTATAGACAAACCAATTTTTACATATGGACCGCTTAAGAGCCCGGTTGAAAAAAACCACCTTTTTTGCTTATGGGTCTCTTTACAGCTCTCGGGGCTATCGATTGAGAAAATACCGACAAGATATAAAAGGCAAGGGCTGGAGCGCGGCTATAAGACACAATGTCTTACTCCGACTTCTCCCATTCTCCCATCGCCTCCCTCTCTCCTGGTGGCTTTTCCTCTACTTCGCCACTCCACCTTCCCTTTGCCTCTCCCCATACATAGCAGCAACCGCTTCGGGTGGTCGAGGTGGAGGTGACTGGCTTTGGGCTGCAACAGCGGCAGGCTTGGGCGGTGGCGGCCATGGGAGTAGTGGATTTGCCGCTAGAGGCAATAGGAGGTGCGGATCCATTGGCGGCGGCCTTGGGAGGGGCGGATCCGCGGCCGAGGAGGTCGGGGACGGTGATGCCGGATCTACCGCTAGAGGCCATGGGAAGGCATCCACCGGCGGGGGCCTTGGGAGAGGCGGATCTGCCACCGAGGAGGTCGGGGACGGTGATGTCGGATCTAGCACTAGAGGCTATGGGAGGGGCCGATCTGCTGCCGAGGAGGTCGGGCACGGTGATGCCGGATCTACCGCTAGAGGCCATGGGAGGGGCAGATCCATCGACGGCAGCCTCGGGAGGGGCGGATCCGCCACCGAGGAGGTCAAGGATGGTGATGCCGGGTCTACCGCTAGAGACCATGAGAGGGGCGGATCCACCGGCAACGGTCTTGGGAGGGGCAGATCCTCTGCCGAGGAGGTTGGGGACGGTGATGCCGGATCTACGGCTAGAGGCCATGGGAGGAGCGGATCCACCGGCGGCGCCCTTGGGAGGGGTAGATCCATCGCCGAGGAGGTCGGGGATGGTGGATCCAGCGTTGTGGAGGTTGGGAACAACGTCTAGGTGCATGCATAACATGTGGTAGTTTAAAAACATTTAACCATATCTTCTCATTAATATGCGATGCAAAGACGTGTGAGATGAGGCGACATAATGATAGAGGCAAGTTTATAAGGTGATCTCTTCTTCCACCTCCTTCGTATACTATACTCCACAAACTTGTGAATGGTTCCTTCCTCTTCATTGTTTGGCATCGCACTTGTAATGCCTATCTCACTATCAACACCTCCGGTGATCTCGTTATCAATGAGAAGAGAGGAAAGAAGGGAAGATTATTGCTCACCCGTCCTACCATGTTATAGAGGTAAAATTACTTTGATTTTTTTTACTCTTTAGTAGATGTGTTTAAAATAGTTTTGATCCCTCTTTTGGTTGATCTCCTCGCCGGTAGCTGCCCCTTCCTCCTCCATCCTTCAGGAACCACCGTGCTGGAGATGGATAACACCTTTAGTATAGGTAAGAGATGAAATCCTACAAATGCACCTGAAAAATGAGTTACACTAAGAAATATAGCCTGGCCACCATCCAAATTTATCACGTGCTCCCACATATAGAAGGATTCTAGAAGCTAATTAGGGGCAAAAAAAAAGATTTTTTTTCTTTCTCCCGTCATTTTGTTTTGGTGGTATCACCGACCTTTGTTTCCCATTATTCAATACAAATGATGCAAGTTCTAATCCCAGCCAGAGTCAAAAGCTTTCAGCCTCACCTTCTCGGTTATGTTTATCAGTCAGGATTTAAATTTTTAGCTTTAGATTTGAAGTTGATTTTAGGACCTTTTATCATAGTTTATTTTCCAATCTTTATTTAGAACATTAAAAATACATATATAAAATTTTAATTTACAAATTATTTTATATTTGTAAATATATCATTTCGTCTTTTCTCTAATATGTCAAAGGATGGGGCTCTTTTGGTTTGTTTGGTAGTTGGGTGGTGATGTAGCAGCAGCAGGGGCCGGCCAAACCGGGCTCGGGGAGGGCGAAAACCAGGGAAGAGAGGCGCGCAGCCAAACCGCCCGACGGCGCGCGCACCACGCGCCCCCCGCAGTCCCCGGACACGTGTCACCCCCTCGCCACGTCGCGTCCATGCGGGCCCCACCCCCCACCCCCCACGAACCACTCCCCCCAACCCCAACCCCTCTTCTTCTACCTCCCTCCTCCTCTTCCCTCTCCTCCTCCTCCCTTCCCATGATCGGTGATGGTGATGGCTAGCGCCGGCGTCAACATGCCGGGTGGCGATGGGGACCACCCCCCCGCGGCCGCCCAGGAATGCCACCGCCTGCGCAGGCGCCGCTACGTCCCCGCCGCCGCCGCCGCGTCCGAGGACGGGGACAACAGCAGCAACGGTGGGGGCGAGAAGAGGAGCCTCCCGGCCTCCTCCGCGTCGCCGTCCCCGTCCCCGACCTCGTCGGCGGCTTCCTCCGACTGCTCGTCCGACCGCGACGACGACGGGTGCTCCTCCACCGCCGGCGCCGCGGCGCGGCGGCTCCCGCTCCCGTCCGGGGCGTCGACGGCGGCCGCGGTGTGGCCCGTCGCGTTCGGGTCCGTCTCGCTCGCGGGGCGGATGCGCGACATGGAGGACGCCGTCTCGCTCCGGCCCTCCTTCTGCACCTGGCTCGACGGCTCGCCGATGCACTTCTTCGCCGTCTTCGACGGCCATGGCGGCCCCCATGTACGTCGCCCCCCCGCTAATCCTTTGCTTAATCCCATCATTATTTCATGCTAATCCTACTCATCATAATCTTGGGTTAGAAAGAAAAAAAAAACAGAGAGAGAGAGAGAGAAAAAGAGATAGAGATTGGATTGATTGATTGCGAAAATGCTGCTGTTGTGTTGTACCGCATTGCACTGTTTGATCCACCTGGCAATGTTCTAGCACCATCGAAACCGAGGTCGACACGTTTTTTTTTTATAAAATTTGTCGTTTAATTTTCGTTTTTGGTTTTTACTACCACTGCTCGATCAGTGACGTGTGTTTGTTTGGTTTTCTCTTTTTTTTGGTGTGATCGATGGACAAAAAAAAAAAAGCAGGTGTCCGCGCTGTGCCGGGAGCAAATGCACGTGATCGTGGCGGAGGAGATGGTGGCGGAGGCGGCGGCGCTGCGGCAGCGGCAACCGGCGGCGATGGAGGAGGAGGAGGAGGAGAGGGCCGTGGCGGGCGGCGCTGTCGCGGAGCTTCGGCCGGGTGGACGCGCTGGCGGCGGTGGCGTGCGCGTGCGGGCGCGCCACCGTGCCGGCGTGCCGTGCCCGCTGTCGGGGCAGACGGGCGCCATCATCGGCTCCACCGCCGTCGTCGCCCTCCTCGTCCGCGACCGCCTCGTCGTCTCCAACTGCGGCGACTCCCGCGCCGTCCTCTGCCGCGCCGGCGACCCCCTCCCCCTCTCCTCCGACCACAAGGTAATCAGCCCTTCCATTCCTACGTGGCACCCTCCTCACACGCACACGTGTCCCTCACACCACGGCTTTGACCGTACCTGCCAAAATATTCCAAGTCTCGCGCTGCCGTTTACCGTTGACTCCTGCGGGGGGTGGGCCCCAGCCGAGGTGTCGCCTCTCCGGAACCTTCGCGGCCGCGGCTGCCTCGCCGGCGACGCGTGGTTGGCCGCCGGCGACCGGAGAAAAAGAGAGAGGTCGCTCTCGCTTGTCGGAGAGACATGGATCGCCTCGCCTTGCCGTGCTCGCCGACGTGGACCCCGCTAGCGTCATCACAAAAAAGATTATCACCTCGTATTAAAAAATAATAATAAAAAAAATAATTACTAGTATCTTTTTTTCTTCTCTTATTATGGTCTGTTTTTGTTTTGGCCCTCTCATTAATGCGAGTAGAAAGGGCAGTGGCAATTTGGAGAATTTGTGGGAACCTCGGGGGTGGCTGCGGAGGGGCGCGGCCCACGTGGTGTTGGGCGGGGGAGGGGGGGGGGATTCCGAAGTGTTTTAGGTGGTGTTTAGATCCAGGGACTTAACTTTAGTTCCTGTCTTTAGACACTAATTTAGAGTATTAAATATAGACTACTTACAAAACTAATTACATAAATAAAAGCTAATTCACGAGACAAATTTTTTAAGACTAATTAATCTATAATTAGAGAATGTTTACTGTAGCATCACATAGGCTAATCATGGATTAATTAGGCTCATTAGATTCGTCTCGCAAATTAGTCCAAGATTATGGATGAGTTTTATTAATAGTCTACGTTTAATATTTATAATTAATTTTCAAACATCCGATGTGATAGGGACTTGAAAGTTTTAGTCCCATCTATACAGGGCCTTAATCCATCGCTTTCCTGGAGGGGGACACGTGTTGCTCTCGCGCGGGGCACGTGGGGGGATAAGACTGGTCAGAGTGTGGGGCCAGCTGCTTTGCTGCTGTCTGGTGGGGCCCACGTGAGCAGTGAGAGGGGGTTGGCCGCCACCTCTGCCACCTGTCCCTGCTCCTGTGTACTGTGAAGTTGCTGTCCCTTTGCCTCTTTTTTTTTCTTTTTTTCTTTTTTATTTTTGCTCTTCCTGAGATGGATTGTGGACCCACACTGGTCAGAGCTTCCTTTTCTGTGGAAAGGGGGAAAAAAGAAGGGGAAAATTGGCTGGGTGTGGTTGGCTGTGGTAGGTCCATGAGGGGGGTAGGAGATGGGGGCAGTGGTTGGTGCGACAATATTCGTGCTGGATGTGGTAGTGTGATTAACCTAATCTTGCTCTTGTATCTTGCTAATCATAAGTGTGATCTTGCTGCTGACGAACCTAGATTACATGGTACTATAATTGACGGTGAATTATGCAGCCGGACCGGCCGGACGAGAAGGCGCGGATCGAGGCGGTGGGTGGCCGGGTGGTGTACCTCAACGGGCCGAGGGTGCGTGGCATCCTCGCCATGTCGCGAGCATTAGGTAATGTCATCGTCATCATCATTGATCTAAATTCTGTCTGCAGGCACTATCTTTGTGTGTTGTGTTTGCTACTCTGCTGTAGAAGAACTGAAATTGCCTGTGTCCTGGGCTACAATGTCTTGGCTGCTAGCTGCACACATGATTCACTTAAGACCACATGATACAGCTAGCAGTGGGTGGCACAATCTGAATGTTTGCGTAGCTAGCTAGCTTTGGATAGAACTTGGAGCCACAATAAAACCAATTTCTGTCGCTCACGTGTTCGTCTTGGCGTGGGTTTTGATTTCACGCGGAAACATGTACTCAATGAGTAAATGTTTCGAAAAGAAGTCTGCTAAGAGCAGGTACAATAGTAGGCTATAAGCCAGCTGCAAACATATTTTAAGAAGATAAATAAGGAGAGAGAAGAGTAGCAGATTACAGATTTGTAGCCAGCTATAGCACAGACTCCAATACGCAGTGTGTGTATGACTGGTGGGACCAGGTATTAATAGTGTATTATGTAACTATTGTATAAATGAGCTATTAGATTGGCTATAGATAAATTGGAGCTAGTAGTTGGCTATAATATTAAACTTGCTCTAATAGAAGTAGTCAGGAGTTGTACTTGTGCACATAATCTGGAGTTAGGGAGACCAATTATATATGGTTGGTAATGCCTTGCCATTCTAGTTTAGTTGCTCTGGATATCATTTGTTTATTGTTCACTAGCCTTTTGGTTTTGCTTGATCATTGGGCTAAACCACTGAAGCTCCATTGGCAAGTCAGTTTCTAAGACGTGTCCAGTTGTTCTTAAACTATCATGTTGCCCCCAACGAGGTTGGGGGAAATGGAAATAAACAAAAGATCGGAAGGTAATACTATATCACAAAGGGTGGTTACATTTGTCGCTCTGCATGTTCTTCCAAACATAAAAAGGAACCTATTGCTCTGCATCTTTCCACCCCTTGACCAATCAAAAACTGCCTGGTGACAGAATCTAGGTCAAATAAGGATGTTCCTGCTTTAAGACTATGAGGAAAATAAGTATTATATGCAAGTTTCGTGGCAGGAAGGTTATGAATATGACAATAGCATGGTACCCTATGAATTTAAGGTTTTTTACACTTTAGTTACATAGGATATTTGCATCTGTCCGAAGGTACCAACTTTTTTTTGTGGTTTATACAATTAACTATGACAAAGATAAAAGGTACAATTCCAGCTTCTAATGAGCTTCTAGTAGATGTTACTTGGCAGTTTGTTGAGTTGATACACAGTCACATCACTGACCCCACCGGTTTGTGCCATATTATCTGGCTTATCAAGAAAATGACCATATGTACCCAGTCCATCTCACTTTAGCCATTAGGCCTAACATTTGGCAGTGCCTGTATGGTGTTATTTCATTTAGTTATATTATCAGATGTCTGAAAGAAGAAAGATGGATTAGACATAAAAGACACGCGTTCATCTCTGATTCACCATCTGTGAAAGTGCTAGCTCTTTTTATTAGTTGCTCTGATTGTAACCTAACCAACTGACTAAAAGAAATGATCTTCATAAATAAGTGGGACATATATGTTTGATTAGGCTAGTGACGTTGTCCTCTGTTGTATCCTAAGTTCCCAATAGTGATGTTACACCTTTTTTAATCTAGCTTTCAGGATTGACAAAGGAAATACCTTGGGTAGTAATAATTTGGACCTTTTGACAATAGAGAAAAGCTCAACTTGCACCATTGTAGAACCTTGTCAGTCTATTTGATTTCAAAACTATATAATTGTACTTCATATCGAATGTTTATAATCAAATAACATAGAAAATATTGTCTCTGCAGATCTGATGTTGTTTCTGATAAACCACTTTTTCTTAAAATAGTTTTTATCTGTCTATCTCACAAGCTCTGTTTTAAACTAGAGTTCAGTGGTAGTATGTTTATATATCAGGTTTCAAGTTGGAGAGGGTTGTATTATATTACAGACACACCATTTTGGTTGTAGGAATTGCCCATTTCACATATAGGAAGCACCACACTACTTATCACTTATTAAGTATTTTGAATCAATGAAGATTCCTACTTTATATAGTAGATTAATTAATATAATGATAATATAATTTATGTGCAGCAGAAGGAAGCAGTTTACTTGGCCCAAAAGGTCAAAGGAAATGTGTTCTTTCAAAATACTTATCTGTCCAACTTGTCATTATAGGCTTATACATGATACATCACCTTCCCTTGATATAGGCAGTACAAATTTCCCTACATTCTAGTAGTTACTGAGTGGTTATAGAATATTTTATGTTTCTGCATCTCACGTTTGCCCCTGTTTTGATGCTTAAGCTTTTCATTGCAAAAGGGCTGGTCCCTGTGTATCCTTTCATTGTAGCTTCAGAGGTATCTGTGGCTTAAATATTTGGATGGAGTTCTTGAAATGCCGTAGCCATAATAATGTTCTCGATTTCACTAGTTCGTTAGGTTTATATGTGTCATCTTCTCCTTTTTCTTTCATGAAACTAAATAGGATTCCTGAAAATACTATGTAATACCATGAATCTTCTCATTTACTAGAATTCAATGCAATACCATTTGAAATGTTTGAAAATTTATTTCCTTTCCTGTATATTACTTACTTTATGAGATTCTTTATGTAAACTAATTCAGTATCATGTATGTTACTCTCAATTATTCTAGGGTACCGTGCTCGAAGGCGTAATCATGTCATAGCTGTTTGCCGTGTGAAATTGTGAGCCGCTCAGAATTCCAGAGCAACATACGAGCGGGAGCATAAAGGTAAAGCGTGGGGGGCCAATGGGTGGGGTACGCAGCTTAATTGGTTGCGCTAAGGGCCCGTTGTCAGTTGGGTACCCGTCTTGCAGGTGCATAGATGACCGGGAACGCCCGGGGAGGGTGGGTAGCGGAATGGGCGGGCGTCGGTTGCTGGTTAGAGTGAGTCGCGAGCGATGGGATGTGGGATGTGATCTCAAACGAGACGGCCAGCGATGTCGCTCGACAATGCCTTGAAGACGGGAGCCCCACCAGTGGGCGTCGCGCAGCTAGGAGCGGCGAAGCCGCTTCCAGCAGCGCCGGTGCTCCGGCAGCAGCGGTAGGCCAAGAATCTGAGCCTCGCTGCTACCGTGCCGCTGCTCTCCTTGCGCGCCTCGCCCTCGGCAGGGAGAGTTCAGATAACATTAGTGTCGTTGTGATTGATCTGAAAGGAAGAGGGTAGGCAGAGATCATGGAGGTAGCCTGGTCTCAGATCACAATAAGAATTTATCTGGCTGCTTCATTTTCCTTCATGTTTTAGCCTTTGTTATGTTCAACCCTCACAAAAGCAAGCTCTAGTAGTGGTTGTTAGAACAAAGGGAGGAGTTGTTTCTGAAAGTTGGGGTGGTCTGAACTCTGAAATTTTCTTTGTTCTTTCTTTTTTCTTCTTTCAATTTTACTAGCTTCCTAGTAGTTCTTTGTCGGTTATGTTCACTGGGAAGAGTCCAGTGGAAAAAAAAAAAGGAGAATGGATGCAAACATTGCCATCCATAGAGATAAAAGGAGATAACAAAAAAGAAATTGCAAATATGCAAAATGTCATGAGACATTATGTACATTATTTATTATTATATTCCATTTTCTCATGGAGCCCTGTGGCTTGCAGTTACTGTTTTTTTGTGGATGCCTGTTAATCTATCTATGATCCAATCAAATGTAGTTACTGACAAATCAAAGTGGGACATGTATAGTCTCATTTCGCTTATGTTTATAAGCCATCTTATTAAAACTTAATTTTCAAGGTGTTTTTGTGATTTTTTTAATTATAGTCTTTTTTACAGTATGTGCTTATAAATCAGTAAGGATAAGTTATACCCATAAATTAATTTTTTTAGAATTTAAACTATTTTACTTTAGTTATTAGTAATTAATAAACGGTTCCATAAAGCATATATGCATAAGCGACAAGGAGAGTGACAAAAGACCACCTCCCCTTTTCAAACTCTTTGGTCTTTTAGGCAACTAGACGTACGTACAAAACCTAAACACGCCACATTCACATCACAATACTTGCGTGCTCGTATTACCTGTGCATGCTATAAGCATGCTTGAAATGTTTGGTGATGCCAAATATTCCTAGAGTAGGGGTAAGTGCAAACTCCCTGAATATGCAAGAATATACTTACAAAAATACGATGGTCCTAAGAACAGATGATAGTCCTTCTCTCCAACATTGGCTCTGTTCGGCGGCAGGTATGGCTCTGTTCGGCAGGTATGGCTGCTGCAGCCGCTGCGGCTGCGGCAGTTCAAAGTCGCTGTAAGCTGCAGCAATTTTGAATTGCTGCAGCCGCTGCTAAACAAATGGCAGCCGAACACACTCATTTTCTTTTGACTAATAACGAAAGAACAATTCGTCATATTTACAAATATATATTGATATTTGCATGCAAACATTGAGGAGTCAATGCAATATTTCCAGACAATTGGTCCAATGACTAAACACACAGAATGAAATATTCCAATGGAACAATTATCTAGTGAAACATACCAGTATTTTGTTGTTTTTATGCGGCGTTTCACTTTTCGGCGTTTCACTTTTCTGCTGTAACTATGACACGATCGTACTAAAACATGTGACTGTCCAATGAAACATTATAGCGTTCCATAGAATTGAAATGATAAGCAATCCGATCCTTAGTCATGTCTATTTAATTATTTAAATAACTTCGATTCAATTCGTACAAATGAATTTTGAAAAAAGTCCGAATTACCTTTGAACTTTTGCACACATCCGATTTACCCCTAGATAACAATACAAACACTTTTAAATGTGGACTTTGTAATCCGGATAAATTACTCTCTAAATCGATTTGAATGTGGTTTTGGTCCTACGTAGGCGCACATGTGGCGCTGGCCCCACATGTCAGCCTCCACCTCATGCTTCCATACTTACATATCAAGCTAGTGGACCCTACATATCAGTTGCTATGTCCTCTTTCTTCATCTACTGCTAGAGCATCATCGGACGCTGCTTGGTTGCTGTCGTCGAACGCCAGTTGTCCAGCTCCTCTTCTCTCTCAATCTCTCCCCACAGCGTCATTTCGGCAGCACCAACTCCACCGCGCGGTCGATGCTAGAGTTCCTCCGCTCCCTCGTTGTGCTACCAAACACATAAACCTACTGCTCCCTTATGGCCTCAACAACACAACTTAGATCTAGCAAATACGACGGAAGCAATGGTGAACTCACGGCGGAGGCGATACAGGTGGTTTCAAGCTTGAAGTGGAAGAGCGGTGAGATTGACGGTGAGCTCCATGAACTCAACACCACTCGCCTATGCTAGCTCCACCACGAAGCATCGCCTCTTTGGATCTTGGTTCCACTTTGCTCCGCTGCCAAGAGTCAACTCTGCTAGCTCCGCTAGCGTGCATTGCCCCAAAACCCTAGTGTTGCTTGCCTTAGGAAGGGGCGCAGAGGAGGGGAGAAGAAGAGGGATTGGGCGAACAAGTGGGTCCAATAAAATTTTCTTTTACTTGTTTTGGCTGACTGACTATCACATGTGTGTCACTAAAGAGCAAAACCGCCCTAGAGTGTCGCGGGGTGGGGGGGGGTAATTTGTCCACTTTGCAAAGTTGATGGGTTTAAAATGTTATGTATTGTTATTCAGGGGGTAACTTGGATGAGCGCAAAAAATCATAGGGTAATTCAGTCTTTTTCCGATAAATTCCTTTACTACATTGAATCTTCACAAAATGTTTACCATTAAAACACTCAAAAATCCTAAAACCACTAATATTTGGACTTGATGTGCATAAATGAGATATTGATATTTATTGTGAAAAAAATTACTACTACTATGAAAAAAAACAACGGTTTATCCAAGTACATTAGAAATCGAAAACGCTCAGTGTCAGGCGCCACGCTCGCACACGTCGTGACTCCAAACACCCTGAAGCCTTCGATGGCGTGGTGGCCGGTGTCAGGAAGTCCTGGTGGGTAATCACCAAATGTTCAGTACGAGTACATCCAGTTCCGGGGCAAGATTAAAGGCGGTGATATGCGGTGGCCTTAGCGTCGAGCTCGTGTGGCTAGGCAGCGATGACCCTTCTCTCCTTAAACTAGGGGTGGAACCACGAGTAGGGCAGTTAAGGCTAAAGCATATGTAAATTATACTGTACTCTCTTCATACTTATAAAGTAAGTCGTTAAGGACAATACTTAAGTCAAACCTTAGAAATATAAATCATAAATAACTCTCAATTTGTTGAGTTTAAAAATGTAAAAAATATATGAATAGATTTGTCTTGAAAAATAATTTCATAAAAGTATAATATATTATTTTTTAATAAATATTTTTATAGAAACAAGAAGTCAATGTTGTGTTTTGGAGATCGTGTCGCTGTCCAAAACGATTTTCTTTACGAGTACGGAGGGAGAATTGATTAATTGAGCCATGTGTCTGGAGAAATTTTTGGCTCTACCACTGCCTCAAACCTTTCGTCTCGTCTCGTGTTTGAGGAGGTTGGCACTGATGTCTCACCGTTGGGACCATGCAGGAGTGGAGTACGAGAATACCAAATGGGTGTGTACGGTGCTTTTTCGATGTTTCAACCGATGTACTTGATGTTTCTTTGTGTCGAAATGTTTCAATGGTTGAAATTCTATATTTCGTACGTTAGAAAAAAAATTTCAATTCATAATTTGAATGTGTTTCACCGTTTTTAATAATATGAAACATGTTTCTATATAGTGGTGAAAATTTTTTCGATGAGCAGGGAAACAATGCTCGATTTGTTGGAAAACAAATTGGGATGTAGTAGTTCCGATTTCGATTAGAAATTTTGTGGTTGCACTACAACTTAGGTAAAAAAAAGAAAAAGAAAAAGAAAGCCGTCTGTGTCGTGGACTTGACTTTTTTTTTTAACGTGTGATGACTCTAACCCTTTGCTTCTTGTCTCCCAAGCTTACAAGACTAATAATTCTTACTAGTACTACTCAGCACGATTTAGAAAGAGTCTTTATAATTAACATCCGAATAGACAACGAATCCACTCTCAGCGACCACAAACCCAATCCCAAGAACCCGTTCGATCGATGGCTGCTTCCGACGTGCACCACGGCGGCGCCACGCCGGCGGCGGCGGCGACCGCCGTGCCGTGCGTCACGCTCAACTCGGGCCACGCGATGCCGGTGCTGGGCTTCGGCACCGGCTCGTCGACCCCGCCGGCCGACCTGGCGGCGACCATCGCGCACGCCGTGCGCCTCGGCTACCGCCACCTCGACACCGCGGCGGTGTACGGCACCGAGGGCGCGGTCGGCGCCGCCGTCGCCGAGGCCGTGCGCTGCGGCGCCGTGGCGTCCCGCGGCGAGCTGTTCGTCACCACCAAGCTCTCCATGGCCGACGCGCACCCGCCGCGCGTGGTCGCCGCGCTCCGGGAGTCGCTGTCCCGGCTCGGCCTCGACTACGTCGACCTCTTCCTCATCCACTGGCCCGTCGCCATCGGCAAGAAGGACGCCGCCGGCGAGCTGACGTGGGACGACCTGAGCCGCGGCCTGGTGCCGTTCGACATGGAGGGCGTGTGGCGCGGCATGGAGGAGTGCCACCGGCTGGGCCTCGCGAGGTCCATCGGCGTCAGCAACTTCTCCGCCGCCAAGATGTCGCGGCTGCTCGCGCTCGCCGCCGTGCCGCCGGCGGTGAACCAGGTGGAGATGAACGTCGGGTGGCGGCAGGAGAAGGTGCGGGAGGTGTGTGGCGAGGGCGGCGTCGTCGTCGCCGCCTACTCGCCGCTCGGCGCGCACGGCGCGCACTGGGGCTCCGACGCCGTCATGAACAGCGGCGTGCTGCACGACGTCGCCGCCGCGAGATGCAAGACGATCGCTCAGGTAAAAAAAAAAAAAACTAAGAAAAAAATCAATTAAAATCGTTGACTTCTACAATTCTATTGACATTAGCTGCTCCAGTTAAAATACTGAATTATTATTCTTTGAAACTATTCTCTCCGTCACATGGAAAATAAATCTAGAATGAGATGTGACGGTTGCCGCCATGAGAGGCAAGATGATTGCTCAGGTGATAAAATAAAACTAAGAAAGAAAAAGTTCAGACTGGTTGACTTCTACAGTTCAGAATGGTATTAGCTGTTTCAATTAAAATAATTGAATTGTTGTTATATAAACTTGTGTACTCCAATGATTTTTATTATAGTTTGACCTTTTTCATGGTTTATGGAAGTATAGAATGGCCATGGTGCTAGGAGAAAATAACCACGACAAGAATTAAATTTGATAAATGAAAAATTTACAACAATCAAAATAGACTCTGCTGAAAAGTCCTGTTTGGCCTCGAAAAGGGGGCGGGGTTTAGTAGTGTGAGTTGGTGGAGAAACTAATTCTCAATAATTCATAGGTGTGAAGTGGACACACAACAAGTCATATATGCTCCAGAATTTAGAGTTAATCGTTATGCAGTTTTTTAAAAATTTTGGATGAAAATTTAGCAATAGACTTAAAACTTTGAATATGTTGCTTATTTTTTTTGGTTGGTGTCGTTGTGTCTTTTTTTTTTATCTACTGTTGTTTTATTCTATCCTACCTGAGCTTTGAGAAAAAAAAATGTAATGGTTGTAGTTTCAGTTGCAGTAACTGAAGCAAATGCTAAATTTAATATCAACTAAATGAACCTTACCCTCTAAACTCCTGTTATCTCTCCCCTCTAAAAAAAACTCCTGTTATCTCTCATCTCAAGTTAGTCCCCATCATTGCTAATGCGAAAATTTTACCTAACACCTCTGGAACACAGCTGCCATGCCATCTGGTCTAATTTCCTCCTACACACTAGAAAAATACAGCTATTAAGGCATGTTTAGTTCGCGAATTTTTTTTATCACATCGGATATTTGACAGGATGTCGAAAGGAATTTTTGGACACTAATGAAAAAACTAATTTCATAACTCGCATGAAAACCGCGAGACGAGTCTTTTGAGCCTAATTAAGCTGTCATTAGCTCATATGGGTTACTGTAGCACTTTGACTAATCATGTACTAATTAGGCTCAAAAGGTTCGTCTCGTGATTTCCAAACAAATTGTGTAATTATTTTTTGTTTTCAAAAATATGATATGATGTTTTTGGGAAAAAAAAATTTAGGAACTAAACCAGGCCTAATTGTCTCCCCAAATAACTGAATTCACAATCAATAACAGTAATATTCCCTTCGTCCTAACAAACAAGGAAAATGCAAGACCAAAAATTCGATCGATTGGGTTAATTACATACATAATTACAGTATTCAATTAACAAAGGTTTATATCCTACAGTTTTATGTAAAACTACTATATATATACAAACATCAATATATAACTCAATTAATTAATTATCTCTTGGTTTGTGATGCAGGTGGCGTTAAGGTGGCTGTACGAGCAAGGCGTGTGCATGGTGGCGAGGAGCTTCAACGAGGGCCGGATGAAGCAGAACATGGACATCTTCGACTGGGAGCTCAGCGACCAAGACAAGGCGATGATCGCCGGCGTGCCGCAGCGGCGAGCCTGCCATGGAAACTACTTCGTCTCGCCGGACGGCCCGTACAAGTCCCTCCACGACCTCTGGGACGGCGAGATCTGACGACGGCAACGACTAGATCTCTATTCGCATCATTGTGCTGGTCAAAATACTGTCTTGTGTTTATATGGATCATCGATGCTAGGTCATTCCCAACTCAATAATTATGATGGTGTCTATAGCATTAAATAAGCTGCCACCTAGGATAAAAAATGATGTGGCAAGTGGATAAATAAGAAAAGAGAAGGAAACCATGTCTTGCATGAGACATCCAAGACATTATGTGAGATAAGTAGTATTAAATTTAAGTATGAAATAGTGGTGTTTGCATTGGAAGAGTAGTGTCTAGTACATGATGTGAAGTTTATAGAAACTACGTATAGTGTCTTGAGTTAAAAATGGCCTTATTATTAATAAAGACCGCCATAAATTTTTTATAAACATACGAGTACCTATCTTATACTATATCGCTAATCTCTAGTAACTCGTGAGTCCTGACCTACTACTAGTTAGAGAAATTATATTTTGCCACTCATTTTGAAGTAAAGAACAATTGAAGAATAGAGTTATTAATCTGTCATAACAGTTCTAGATTATGAACTGTTTGGAGGCATCGACGTTGCCGCAGCAGCTGCAGAACTCCAGGACAACCATGGCTGCTTACGGTTGTTGGTGTAGGGAACTAATCCTTTCGTACGTAAAACGAAACAACTCATTAGCGTATAATTAATTAAATATTAGCTATTTATTTTTAAAAAATGGTTGAATATATTTTTTAAGTAACTTTCGAATAGGAATTCTTTAGAAAAACATACCATTAAATTGTTTGAAAAATGTACACGTAAAAAACGAGAAAGATAGTTAGAAAAATAAGGTAAAAAACACAACCTTACTGCTGGGTAAAGAACATAACATTTTACTGCTGTGTCTAAGACCGTACCTAGAAATTGAAGGCCTATGTGAAAGTACTCCCTCCGTCCCATAAAAAATCAACCTAGTACTGGATGTGACACATTCTAGTGCTATGAATCTAGACATACTCTGTCGGTATGTCTAGATTAATTGTACTGGAATATATCACATTCAGTTCTAGATTCGTTTTTTTTTTACGAAAGGAGTATATATTGAGCCTGAATTGAAAAGATGTGGTGACCTACGACAGATAGCCACAACCGTGTACTGTACACACTGCCGTGGCCGGTGGTGTATAGTCGTGGACACACAGAAGTCAGGCAGCTAGGAGCTTGTTCATTAATTCGTGCCGTCTGTACGTGCCCATTAACCATCCTTAAGTAGCGGTGCTGATTGTTTTGAAAAAAAGATCGAAGTAGTGTCCTAGCGGCGACGGTGTGGGAAAACCGAGTCTTAAAAAAGCGAGACGATGCGATGTGTGGTGCATGTTGGATGTTAGTTTGATCAAACGAGACAACATGAGAACATACATTCTTTTTTGCCTGTTGTTTGAGCTTTCAAATTAATACTAAATTGCTCAAATAGCTTGTTGGGCTTTCCATACGTGTAATACGTTTTCATTTCTTTGCTATTATAGTTAGCATGGATAGGATAATTACGAATTAGTACTAGTAGTTATAGATTTGGGGGCCTTGAACATGTGCACACTTTACATCGGTGGATATACGGCCCCTGCTGCCATCGACAGTTACCATACAGGAAGCTCACCCGTAGCAGGGTCTGCTTCCTGGGCCGCACTACCGATGATCTTTCTCAGCCGCCACGCCTAGCCCCATCCTGCTCACGGGCACTGCCATGTTGAACGTGTTGGAATTAATAGATGGGTTAAAGCCTATTCGAAGATTAATTCTTTGGAAAATTACAAAAGTCCACCTCATGGGATGGTATGCATGTGGAGTTTAGTACCACCTTACTTATTCTAGCGGATGGGGACCTCCTTAAAAGGGAGGATGCCCTCCTAGCCACTTGAAGCATGTGTGGTGGAGAGAAGAGGCGGAACACACGCACGCACGCAAGTCAAATGGTCCGCAAAATTGGCTCCTTTTGTAATTTTGTTTTGCTGCGGGAAATTTTGGAAACATTCTGAAAAATCCAGTGCGTGAAAACGGCGTGGAGTCCGAGTAAGTTACGCGCGGCTTATCCGATTCGGTTACTGTCGAAACATGAATTCGGCAATAATAAAACGGGGTAGCGCACGAGACCTAAAAGTGGATGGATGCAGAGACAAAGGATTTAGACAGGTTCAGGCCCTCTCAATGAGAGGTAATACCCTACTCCTGTTTGGGGAATTGAATCCGCCGAGTGTGTATTGATCTGACGATCAGGTTGTCTCATATCTGCCCCCTAGAGGGCCTCCTGCCCACCTTATATAGGATGGGGGGCAGGATTACAAGATAGAAACCTTAACCAATACGGTATCGGTTTCCTAAATCAGGACTTTAGGCCGTTCCGTAATATACAAGGAAACGTAACACCCAAGTCATGATCTGTTACATATTACATAGATATAAGTTATCCCCTATAACTAGTCGGATAACCATGCCCTGTGGGTATGGGGTACCCATAATATCCACAGTAGCCCCTGAGACCTTCGCAGTCGAAAAGATAATCTTCTCTCGAACCAGATTACTCCAAAGCCGAGTGCTTCAATCATCTTTGTCATGGTCTCCCGAGTACTTTTACCAAATCTGAAGACTGTGGAGGGCTGAAAAATAAAGTCAGGTGCATCGAATAGATGCACCTAATAGGTGTAGCCCCCGACAATGTGGTTAATTGAACAAACCAAGCATATAGTCAAGGAATAAATAATCCAACCAACCAAGTGGTTTTGATAATCGTAATCAACCAAGTGACTTGATATCAATATATAGTATATGCGGTGTGAATCCTCCAAATAACATGATCCGAGTGATATACCAAAATAGCTATAAAAAAGCTCGTATATTGTGAATAAAGAAATTTCCAAAGTATTGGGCATACGCCATGCGCACACTGCTTTAACAGATGTGCTTAAGTCCCTAGAAGACACATGGTTTCACCACACCTGGAAATATATGGCATATGTGGTGTAAAATCCGAGTAAATAAACTCATAAAGGATTTACCAACCGCCTAGAAAAATGACCATAATATATAATCAGCCTAAGCCATAATATTGGTCAATAAAAATGCACACTTACGTGGCAAAAAGCAATGATATTATATCCAATCAATTGCTTGATAAACCCAAACAGCACCTTGACTATATAAAAAAGTCAGCGGGGCAGCTATGTAAAGCTTTACTGTTTGACACCTTTTAAGATGCATCGTACCAACTCCTAAAAAGTCGAGTAACTGCGGTATAAAAGGATTTTAAGGTATTGGGCACTTGATCACGCGCACTTTGGCCTAAGCGAAAAGTGCCTAAGTCCCTAAAAGAACGTGACAGGCCACACCTGAAAATATGGGCTGCAGACATATTAGGCCTAGGCCAAAACATATGCCTTCGACACCCTTTAAAGGATGACGCATATAACATGCTCCCGAGTAATAAATCTTCCGGGTAATATAGATCAAGCGTAGCTCATATGAATAGCTTCTGATCTGAATGATTATCCCTTATGGGATACTCCAAAATAAATATAATAATTGAATCCCGACTGGCGCAAGTATTCGGTTGATAGCCCTTACGGGGAATAATAATTGGTCCAGTCTTTGAGCATAGAAAATAGACTCATGACTATGAATCCATGTGGAATGTATCCGGAACAAGTCCAAATTGGAGATATAATCCTCACGCTTGAGTTGATGAGCCCCTGAGCATATAGCTTGTCCTTCTGTCATAGTCAAAATTGCTTATTGGCAATAGCTGACGCAGTCGGCATGGAGATGAAATGACCAACATGAAGACGAAATTGCTCATCAAAAGTAATGGAAGATGTCATTGGTAGTAAAAAACAGTGACACCAATCAAAGGTAATGAAGTTGCACAGCCGTGGAGGCGAAGAAACCAATCGGCAGCAGACAAGTCAGCCAACAGTGAAGATGAAGGCATCCAGCAACATCGACAAAATTGAGCAGCCATGGTGGCGAAATAATCAGTCGGTGACAGATGAGGCAGCCGATGAAGAAGATGAAGATGCCCATTAGTGGCGACATAATAAGCCATCCGTGAAGGCGAGGATACCAGTCGGTGGTGACGAAAGCAAGCCGACGGTGAAGATGTAGACACGTATCAAAGGCAATAACGAAATCCACCAATCATGAAAATAAAGAAAATAGTCGACGACGACAAAGGCAACCGTCAGTAGCAACAGAGATGATCGACTATGATGACGAAATTGCTCATCAAACAGTAGTAGAGTGGGCTATGTTGAAGAGGCTTGACAGTATGTTGATGAAGATGACGATGTTGGTGATCCAGCCAATAGCAGTGTAGCAACCAATGATAATGACAAAGACGCTCATCAGCATTTGCATAGTAGGTCAACCATGAAGGTGAAATAATAAGTCGGCGAAAACATAATCATCCATTAGCAACAGCGGAGATGTCAGGGCCGATGAAGCAGAGGTGCTGGTGATGATGTCTGTCACACCCTGAAAATTTTAAAATTTATAAATTGTTGTTTAAATGGAATTTTTAGAAATAATTTTAAAAGTCTTGAAGAGAAGATCTAGTTTTAATTAATAAATTCCAATATAAAATGGGGCCAGATAAAATTTCATCAAATACTTTGCTTAATTCTATAATTCCTAGATTTTTCTGGGATTTATTTGAGCTAAGGAAGTATTTTTAATAAATGGAATTGCATTTAAGAAATAATTTAAATTGAAAAATGTTTTAAAAAGTCTCTTTTGGCTTTGGGCCGAAAGTCGGCCCAAAACCCCCTCTCTCTCCTCGGCCCAGTTCGGCCCAGTCCGCCGCGCGCGCGCCCTTTCGCTGTCGCTGACAGGTGGGTCCCGCCTGTCAGGACCTTCGTCCTCCTTCGGCCGCCGCCGCCGAAACCCTAGTTTCGCGCCGCCGCCGTTTCCTTCCAAATCCGGCTGTTCCTTTCCTTCTCCGGTCGAATCAAAAGAGGGGAAACAATCTCCGGGATCTACTCTACCTTTTCTCCTTTGGAATCTTCGGCTTAATCGGTTTGGAAGTTCATGGAATCGAGTTCGATTCGGATCGACCTCTTTCCTTCGAGCCGCGAGTTTCCTTCGCCGTTGCCGCCGTCGTGGGCCTTTGCCGCCGCCTCCGAGCCCCTTTAAAAGGACCCTCGGTGTCTCCTCTACCCGCCGCCACCCTCGCCTTCGCCTCTCGTCGCCGGAAGAGCTCTAGCGCCGTGTGCCCTAGCTTTGCCGTCGCCGCCGCCGTTCCAGCCGTGCGCCGTCGTCGCTTCAGCCGTCACCGTCGCTCGGGAAGACCGTCGTCGTGGTCGCCATCGCGTCGCCGTTCTCGTCCGCCCCTTCGCCGTTGCCGGAGATCGCCGGAGCTTCGTCGCCGTCGACAACCCGAAGGTTTCCG